AATACTCCCCACCAGCCCAGCGCCAAGAAACTTCCCCAGTCTTACAAGAGAAAATCTTACCTACCTAACAGAGGCCTACAGAATACCTAACAAGCAAGATCCCAGGAGGAACACTGCAAGGTACATTATAGTAAAAAATGCTAGGTTTTAGCAATAAAAAGCAATCTTGTACAAAGCAAAAGCATAGAAGGAGCTATACTACAATGGGAAAAAATCAGAATCACTGCAGATCTCTTCATACAGACTCTGAATTTAAGGGAAGCCTGGGAAATACCATCTGAGCCCTGAGAACCAACAACTGCCAGCCCAGACTGGTATATCCAGCAAAGCTAGTATTCACATTCAAGGGAGAAACTGAAATTTTTAACAGTAAAGAAAAATTAAATGAATTCATAAACAATGAGCCAGTATTACAAAGAATATTAAGAGCGGGAATACAATCCGAAGAAAGCATTCAAGAACAGGGATCCAGACCAGATAGATATCATTAGGAGACCAACATAGTAAACACAGGAGGGAAGGAAAAAAGAAAAACTTAGGAAAGCATAAAATGACAGGAAATATACCTCTCTATAATAACCATAAATATTAATGGACTCAATTCACCAATCAAAAGAAAAAGAACAGCAGATTGGATCAGAAAACAAGATCCATAAATTTTCTGACTTCAAGTGATCCACCTCACAGCCAAAGATAAAAGCAAACTCCAAGTGAAGGGATGGAGAAAGATCTACCGTGCAAATGCTCCCAGCAAGAAGGCAGGAGTTGCCATTATGATATTTGATAAAAATAAACTTTACACTAAAATCACTATGAAAAGACAAAGGGGGTCACTATGTAATAATACAGGGAACAATCCAAGAAAAGGACATCACCATTGTCAATCTATATGCCCAAACATCGGTGCACCCAAATATGTTAGGCAACTACTCTCAGATTTACAGGAAAAGATGGGTCCAAATGCAATCATACTAGGAGACTTTAATACTCCACCCTCACCAAAGGACAGGACCACCAACCAAAGAATTGGCAAAGAAGTCTCTGAATTAAGTAATGTCATATCTCAAACAGACTTAAGCGACATATACCGAGTTCTCCACCCAACAACAAACCAGTACACATTCTTCTCAGCAGCCCATGGAACTTTTTCTAAAAGAGATCATATCTTAGTTCATAAATAAAGAATTTAAGCAAATACAAGAAGATCAACATAATCCCCTGTATTTTATCTGACCATAGTGGAATCCAACTAGTTCTCACTAACAAGGCATACAGTTGAAAAAACTCAAACACATGGAAATTAAACAGCACACTGCTGAGCATCACATGGGTCACAGAAGAAATTAAAGAAGAAATTAAAAAGTTCCTACAATTCAATGAAAATGAAGACACATCACAAATAACCCTATGGGACACAGTGAAAGCATTCCTGAGGGGCAAGTTTATTGCCCTCAGTGCACACATCAAGAAAACAGAGACAGACCAAATAAGTAATCTCATGATGCAACTAAAACTGTTAGAGACACAAGAAAAAGTTGAACCTAAAGTCGCTAGATGGAGCGAGATACCAAAATAAAAGCTGAAATTAACAAAAGAGAAAACTATAAATAAAATTAATAAAAGGCTGTTTTTTTAAAAAAATCAATAAAATTGATGGACAATTGGCAAGATTAACTAAAAAAAGAAGAGACCCAAATCAATAAGATCAAAGATACCACAGGAAAAATTAAAACAAACATCCAAGATAGCCAAACAATTATAAAGAAATATTTCCAGACTTTATATTCACAAAGGGAGGAAAACCTAGCAGAAATGGATGAATTCCTAGAGGAATACAAATTGCCCAAACTGAACCAAGAAGAAATAAAACAATTAAATACGCCAATAACTTATAATGAGATAGATTAAGCAATCTATCATTACACAATTCTATAAGACCTTTAAAGAGGAATTAATTCCCATACTCCTCAAGCTCTTCAGAGAAATAGAAGCAGAGGGAGTAATCCCAAACTCATTCTATGAAGCAATATCACACTCATCCCCAAACCAGGCAAAGACGCAACAAAAAAAGAGAACTACAGTCCAATCTCCTTGATGAACATGGATGCAAAGCTCCTCAATAAGGTTCTAGCCAACAGAATCCAGAAACATATAAAAAAAAATCATACATCATGACCAAGTAGGCTTCATCACAGAGATGCAGGGATGGTTTAACATACATATGTCAATAAATGTAATCCATCACATCAACAGATCCAAGGTCAAGAAGCACATGATTATCTCGATTGACACAGAAAAGGCTTTTGATAAAATACAACATTCATTCATGTTAAAAGCTCTGGAAAAAAAATTGGAATAGAAGGAACAGTCCTTAAAACAATAAAAGCCTTATTTGACAGGCCAACAGCCAATATCACACTTAATGGGGAAAAACTACAACCAATTCCCCTAAAAACAGGAACAAGGCAAGGATGCCCTCTCCCCACACTCCTATTCAATATAATTCTGGAATCTTTAGCCAGAGCAATAAGGCAGGAAAAAGACATTAAAGGGATCCACATAGGGGAGGAAGAAGTTAAACTCTCTCTTTTTCAGATGACATGATTTTATACCTTAAGGTTCCCAATGGCTCCACCTCCAAACTCTTAGAGCTTATAAACCACTTTGGCAAAGTAATAGGATACAAAATTAACCCACAAAAATCAGTCACCTTTCTGTACACCAACAATGTACAAGCAGAAAGGGAAATCAAGGAAAAAACCTCATTCACAATAACCTCAAAAAAAAAAAGAATCTAGGAATTAACCTAACCAAAGATGTAAAGGATCTATTCCATGAAAAGTATAAAAATCCTAAAAAAAGGAATCATAGAGGATACCAGGAAGTGGAAAGATCTCCCATGTTCCTGGATAGGCAGAATTAACATAGGGAAATGGCTATACTGCCAAAATTTATATACACATTCAATGCAATTCCCATTAAAATCCCAATGACATACTTTACTGAAATAGAGAAAACATTCCAAAAGTTCATACTCAGCAACAAAAGACCTAGAATAGCCAAAGCAATTCTAGGCAAAAGAAACAACTCAGGAAAGATCACAATACTGAATTTCAAACCCGAATTTCAAACTCTACTACAGAGCCATAATCACAAAGACAGCTTGGTACTAGTACAAAAAGAGACCTGAAGACCAATGGAACAGACTAAAGGACCCAGAAATAAAGCCGCATATGTACAGTCAGTTGATATTTGACAAAGGAGCCAAAGACATACAGTGGAAGAATCATAACCTCTTCAACTATTGGTGCTGGAAAAACTGGGTGGCCACATGCAGAAAAATGAAAGTGGACTCTAGCCTATCACCATGTACTAACATCAACTCAAAATGGATTAAAGACCTTAACATCAAACCTGAATTTCTGAAACTACTGAAGAACAGAGTAGGAGAGACACTTATAGGCACAGACAGGAACTTCCTGAACAGAGTCCCAGGGTCACAACAAATTGGAGAGAGACTCGACAAATGGGACTACCTTAAAATAAAAAATTTCTGCACAGACAAAGAAATAGCAACCAAACCAGACAAACAGCCAACTAATTGGGAAAAAAATATTTACCAGCAAAATATCAGACAAGGGTCTAATATCCATTATATACAGGGAACTCAAGAAACTAACCCCTTACATATCTAACAAACCAATCATGAAATGGGCAAGGGAACTAAAGAGAGACTTCTCAGAAGAAGAGATAAAAAAAATGGCAAAGAAAGACATGAGGAAATGTTCATTATCCTTGGCTGTAAAGGAAATGCAAATAAAGACAACCCTGAGATACCACCTTACCCCAGTCAGAATGTCCCACATCCTAAAGTCAGCCAACGACAAATGCTGGAGGGGATACATAGAAAGAGGAACACTACTGCATTGCTGGTCGGAATGTACACTTATACAACCACTTTGGAAAACAGTCTGGAGATACCTCAGAAAGCTAAATATAGACCTCCCCTATGACTCAGCCATACCACTCGTAGGCATCTACCCTGAACAACAGGAACCGGTATACAAAGACACATATACCTCCATGTATATTGCAGCACTGTTCACAATAGCCAAGATTTGGAAACAACTCAGATGCCCCACTACTGATGACTGCATCCAAAAATTGTGGTAGCTATATACAATGGAATATTATAGCCATTAGAAAGGACAAAAAAATGACATTTGCAGGGAAATGGATGGAACTAGAGCAGATTATTTTGAGCAAAACCAAGAACAAAGACAATGGCACATGGTCTCCCTGAAATGTGGATGCTAAAGCCAAAATACAAGAAGATATGACAAACAGGACTCAAGAAACAAAGGACAGCAACCCATTTTGCCATGTCATTGCTAAATGACTCCATGTTCTAGACCACATATATGGTAGATATATGCACCCAACAGAGGGAAGCCAGGAGGAGGAACAGAATAAGTGGGAACAGCCCACACTAAGCAGAAGGAAAGAAATGTAAACTTCACCTGATGTGGAAAAACTAACTTGTCAAAGCTCATAGAATTTACAAACTGTATAAACCATGATAAATACAATTTGCCTTGTGAAAGTTAAAATGTTTCTGACACTAAGTATGACTATTCCACAATACTGTGAAATATGTGAAATTTATGTGATCACCTAACCTCAAAGAAAAAAAGTGAGAGAAGGGATGGGTTAAGAGAGATGGGTGGCAATGTTGTCAGACACTGTACTCATATACTGTTTTGTAGAATGGGAACTTCTTTGAACAAGTAGAGATAATAAAAAATATAAGTAAATAAAAAACAAAATCAAATTGTGTTGTTCCTTTCTTTGAGAAAAATTGAAATTGACAATAGTAGGATATAGTGTGGTGTAATATACTCAACTTTTGCACCTTTATTATTAAAGTGTTGTAGGCCTTTTTACGCATGTTTAATGGTTTCTTTTTATTTTTTACAATGGTATATTTTGTATTGCTTTAGGTAATGAAAAGACTGACTCGTTTTATCATTCTGGTGGGCTGGAGTTCTATAAAGAACCAAGACACACAACATACCTGTCAAGATCAGATCTGGACTATCCTAGGTCTCCTTTGCCATTTCAAAATAGGTAAAAATCTCATCAAACCTGCCTGGTGTGTAAATACATTAACATTTGAGTCATACACACCATTAGAGCTTTGACTTCTGTGTATTGCAATAGCTAGACATATTTTACATAACCTAAGATTCAGTGTCATCATTTTTGAGTTTATAAATGGTTTTTAAGGGTCTATAAAACAAGT